TGGGTACAAACTGTTGCAATAATAACTAAAATTTGTAAGTTTGTACATACCACTTCATAGTATGTTTGTAAAGTCTGAAAAGTTAAACTTCTGTGTGTGCACCCCTACCTTTTTTTGAATACATTGACAGCACACTATTCAATTTGAACAACAAAACATTAATTCAAATAAAATTTTGATTCATACCAGCACTTGCTTGTTTTGTCACAGTAAAATATTTTTCAATAGAATCAAAATTAAAAAATTGATTTATGATGCTTAATAACCTATACAAATCCGCTATTAATATTGTAGACAAATAAATTTTAAAAAGAACTTACAATTAAAATCTAGTGGCTTTTGACATGACAAGGCATTATAATACAATAGATTCAACTTCACTTACATCATATATAATCCTAATTTTATAATGTTAAAACATAGATATTATACGTACAGCTGTGATGAAATAACTTACATAAAAGTATCAGTCAACAGTCTCATCAGGTTGATTTGCAACCAATTTACTAAAGATCGTTGTTGGTAACACACAAAACATAATTATTACTCTAAAAAATTGCAGTTTTTATTTAATAATACTCATCCTATATAGTCTACATTGTATTCCTGCTTATATTCACTGTAAATGGTAATTCCTCTTTGAATATATTGATTGAAGATATAGACTTGCACCAAATAATATAGAAAAATCATTAAAATGGTGACTGAACTCTTTTTAAGAATAACAAATAGAATTCAAGTGATGGTTCGGTATTGTGATGCTTTATGTAGCCTGTAGTAGCAGTTTGCATTGATAAAGTTAAATTTTCGCTAACATGACCTCTTCTATTGGTCCTAGCATAGTTAATACGTGCATGAATTTATTGTACAAGTATAGAAGTGTTTTAAAGACAGACTATCCATGAATGATTGTCCTATACATGGATATTTATGGTCCTGTCGGGTCCGCATCAGTCCGTCCGTCCTTTTCGGGCGGGACGGGTCCGTCCGTCCGTCCGCTTTTGAGACCCTACCGCCCAGGGAAGGAAATTGTGGCGCGCGAAGCGCGCCGAAAAATTTTGCAGTTTTAATTATATTCATAGTGGGTGTGGTCAAAATTAATTAATTTTTACCTGCACGCATGATAACATGCACTTTTCTATTGAATTTTAACTAGCTAGGAAGATTGATTTTGATGATATCATGACTTTTTTACTTGGCAAAAGGCCAGAAGGGCCCATCTTCTGTAATAATTTTGCTTAGTTAAGTTCTTAAAAAATTTCTTGGGGCCCTTAAAATTGTGGGGCCCAGGGCATTTGCCCCTTTTGCCCCCCCCTCTCAGTGGCCCTGCCTGCATGGTTGCAAGTGCAGAAAGAATTGCTCCATTATTATCAGTACTGAAATGCAAAATACACTAAATTACACATATGCAATCAAAAAAAAATAATTACAATGTACAGCAGGTTTCACAACAAGTATTAAAATAGTCTCCACGACTAAGTGCAGTATGCAACTTTTTGCAATGATATTTTGTAGGATACTCTTCATCTTTACTTCCATTCCAAAGGCTGTTGTGGCTGGTAAATCTTTAATACTTCCTTTAGATTACACTCTACAATGCTACCTCCCTACCTGTACAGTAAGCATAAAATATTGAGAAAAATTCATATGATGTATGAAAAAACCATTTGCAGACCCAAAAGCATGTGTTAGGGTTACCATAATCCAGTCTGGTATAGAAACAGTCCAGATGCAAATAAACAGTAGCTTCAGAAAGCCTTTTCCCTTCAGAATAATGCCAAAATGGGTAGAAAATTCTTCACTGCTGAAGGAAGACCGTCAGCCATCTTGTGTAGCCACGCCCGTCTTTTCTAATTATACCTCTTTAATTAGTCTTTATTGCCTGACGTCAGTCACACCATAGATACTACATACACACATGGATAAGAAACAGGAAGTCGGTTTCCAATTAAAGCTGTACAAGATCAAAGGATGATGTCATATCCTGTGTGCTATGCTCTTGGCTAAAATGGTGGCTCTATGAATGCTTGAGTGTA